TGATGATTGAGCTCATAAAATTTATTGAGGAAAATTCTTGTAACTTCGGAAAATTTGGATGATGAACTTGAAACTTTGTGAAAATGGATTGTTGTGATTGGAAAAATGAGTTATGGAGTAGTTGTAGTAGTTAATTATATGTTGTATGGTGTGTTTAATGTGTGGAATTGAATTGAAAATCTTTTGGTGAGGGAGCATGTGCATTTCGGCCAAAGAAAGGAAAATGGGGAAGGATGATTCTAAAATTGTGTAATTGATGTTGTGAGGGTTTGAACCAAGTTTAAATAAGTTGTGTGATGCATGTGAATTGGAAGCAAAATCATTGGATTTTCCAAGTTGTTGATTAGGCCTAAAGGGGGAAATTAAGGAAAAATGATGTTGAGCTGCGATTTAATGAAGTTGTTGTTAGTATTTGGGTGTCCTAGAGACAATCTTATGATTAAATAAGGACATAGATGTAGACCTTTTTAATATTGTCGCAAATAAATAAAAGCACTCTTTATCTTGTTTCATAATTCTGTCTCGATATTAATGTTAATATATTATGAATAACTTGATAAACCCCGTGGAATAAAATAGGTATCTCTTGAGTATCTGTGATGAGATCACAATCATGAGGATTCAAGAATACCGGATGTTTATTCCTAGTTTTATGTTCCTAGTCTAGAGATGCTGAGAATGGGGTCAGTAATCTCGGGTAAGACTAGCACGACTTATCTACTTGTATATGGATACAAGGTATAGACCTCATGTGCTACAGATATGGAGATGTCTTAGCTAAAGACGTGGGTGGACCTATAAGGGTATAGCTCGCACTGAACAGACCCACAAAGAGACTCTATGAGGAACTCTCACAGAGAGTATCATTAGAGTAGTCTCTTTATATTTGGGTATGTCTTTCCTAAGACCAGAAGTTATTACCTAGACTGTGTTCTAGAAGGTATGCTTTGATTGTGCACCTCGTCTTCCTGAAACATGGAGACTCATAGGTATACTGTTGGGCTTGTCCTGAAAGAACACAGGGCAAGGGTGATAAGCTGAAGGAATTCGTCAAATCTCTGTGAGAGATTAGGTTATCTGTAAACCGGAGAAATCGGGATGACATTTACAGGGACTCGGGAATCTATGCATAGTAAAAGAGATCATGAGATGATCTGCCTTTAGAGTCTGTAAATTGAAGATTCCCTATTTCGAATAAAGCTTACTCTAAACCGCAGGGGTTGATACGCTTCCTTACCCTAGGTTTTATGGGAAGGTAACCGAGATGAAAGGAAATATATACGGTAACCAAATATGTGCAATAGGATGATCAAGTCACTAATCTAACTAGTTCTGGGGCAACAAAGCATTGCTAGTGCTCTGTGTTGTCATTAGATGGGTTGTGGGCTTATTGGGCCCAAGCTCATTTATGTCAGTGGCTATGTTTGACCTAATGGGTCACACACTAACACCTAATTGTCTAGATGCTTTAGCATTAATGGTATTGGGCCTAACAATTGTTATTAGCCCAAGAAGCAGTTTGGAACTCCACAGATAGGGTGGAGGGCGCATGGATCTAAGTAATGGGCTTGGATAGTCCAAGACATTACTAATTAATTTAATTAGTTAAATTAATTATCAAATGTTTAAATTTTGAATTTTGGATTTGAAATTTGAAATTTGAATTTTGAATTTGAATTTTGAAATTCGAATTTTGAATTTTGAATTTGAATTTTGAATTTTGAATTTTGAATTGGAATTTTGAATTTTGAATTTTGAATTTTGAAATTTGATTTTGAATTTAGAATTTGAATTTGAATTTAAAATTTAAGTGTTTGAAAGTTTGAATTCAAATGTTTGAAATTCGAATTTGAATTGGCTATGAAAAGTTGTTTCATAACAAAAGGATAAGATGAGATCTTGTTGGAACATATCAAGAGGAAATCTTTTGGACATAATCTAAGAAGATTTGGGGTGCTGATTTGGCTGTTGGTTAGTCATCAGAATCAGCTCCAGAAGATACGATATGTTGGGAGAATATTTGAGTGATTTGATTCAAGTTTGAATGCAACTACTCAAATGTATCTGGTCATTATTTAGGCTATATGGGGCGCACCATATAACTGATTATATGATGATTTATGATCAGATATTTGATTAGGTTTTGAACCTAATATATCATAAAGATATGATAGGATGTTGTTGGCAAGATTTGATGAGATTTGATTTGCAACAAATCCTATTCACTCTCTCTTTGATGGAGCGCCCTTTTGGAAGGGATTTTTATTGATTAAAAATCTGATTTGTTTTTAACAAATAGGCGCCTCTATATATATGTTCCTTCTAGGGTTTTTAGAAAACCAACCAAGCCATTCTCTTCTCCTCTCCTGCGCCACTTTTGTGAAGTTTTCACATTGAAAGCTTCACTCTTTCAAACACTTTTACCTAGCCTTTCTCTTCACACAGTGTGCGCTTAGCAAGCCTCATTGTAGTGATCACTTGGCGGTTTCACAAGAAGGAGTTCTTGCACCTAGACGCAGTGGGTGGTGTGGATCAACGTTAGAGGGTCTGAACCCTTCAGACCTACCTTGATCATCACGAGTGTTCACGAACAAGGTAACATCATGCTTTCCTAAAGCATGATCTTGAATGCATGTGTGTTCCGCAATGAAAAAGTTTTGTTTTTCCCTCCAGCATGCATCGGCCTTCAAAGCCATTTCCAACTTTCAGTTGTGAACTTGAATTGGTGTTGTGATGGGCTTAGGAAGTCATAGGAATGTTGAAATAAAATTAACATCATGGTTAGGTACGTAAGGCCTTAATGGCCGAATCCTATGTGTGGGAGTGAGGAAGTGCTTGCCTTGTGTTTTTTACTTGTTGTACAAGTGAATTGATGATCTTATGTGTGATCATTGTAGGTTGTCTCTCACGGACGTGATCTTTGAGGATTGCCTTTGGTCCTTGACCAAAAGGATTTGGGTAAGTACTTATGTCACATTTGCATGAATGCTTGAATGACCAAGGTGTCTAGTATTCTGTATAAAAATTTGAGAGTAATTGGTTGAGTTGTTTGTCCAGAATCGCAAAAATGGTGATGGATGTTTGGTGCCCTATTTTGAGTTGGCTGACAGTTTTGTTTGTCCAACTTTAAACGTTGATAACCGGAGCTAGAGAGAATTTTATAAGGCGTGTGATACCTTGTCAGAAAGGTAATTGAGTCTAGAATAACATACTAAAATATGAGAGTCTTATAGCTTGGGAATTTTGTGCAGTGTCCAAAAGACTGAACCATGTTCAGTTGTAGAAAAAAAGTAAAAGTGAGATTTATGCTAAGTGGCTTTATGAGAACCCATTAGTGACTTAAAATAAGTAATGTATGATAATTAGATTTTTATTTTATTTATTCCGCGTTTAGAATTAAGTTATGATCACAGCTTATGTCATTACGTTTGTTTATTGTTTTTAAACGATTATGTAATGAAAAGGAAAAAGTTTACTCGCATTTTTAAATGAACTGCTATGATTGTAACTGCGCTTAATATCATAATCAATGTTAACAACACCGGTACGTAATAGGCTATTACATTTTATAGATATTCAAATATGAATGTTGTTCATGTATTAGACTGTACAATTGAAAATAATATGAAAGAAACAATATGCATGGCAATACATAAGGAACATAAAGAAAAAAGTTAATTCACGTAATTACCTAGGGTAATAGTGATATTTTCATTGAAGTCTTCCTCTTAACTATTTAAGTATACCGTGTCTTAAATACCAAATTGTATGTTAACAAGCTGATTGCAAGCGGGGCTTACATCAGCCATGGAGAAATGCTTCTCGATGGGAGAAGAAATTTGAAGAGATTAGAAATGCTTTAGGGGGGTTTAGTAGAGGAGAAACTTTTTTGCTCCCTACAATCATGATTCCTGGGAATATGATGGGAAAGTTAGTTTCCCAAGAATGTTACCAAAAAGTTATTTGGTAGAACAAAATATTACCAGGAATATTGACTCAAGTTTCTTGTGTTTATGTTTGGTTGATTGTCAAATATTATTGAGAATTTGGAGTGTTTTACAAAATTACCCTCTATAATTCTCAATCGATCCTCCAGTCTTCTCGATTCTATTTATAGTTTAATTCTCAATCGAGTTTGACTTGTAGCTCATCTGGGTGTGAGCGCAATTGGAGTACTTTTGAACACGTAATATTTTCCATATAGTTAAATTTGATGTATGGCTTATGAAGCGAAGAAACTAATATTTTTTATTGTTAATTATGAAATAGATTCATTCCAAAAAGAGAAGTAGGCTTGAGCATCAAAAGTTGCAAGATTTGGTTTTTATTAAGTACAATCAAGCTCTTAAACATCGCTATGACAGTCATGATGTGATTGATCCCATCATCCTAAAAGACATCGATGATAGCAATGAGTGGTTGGTGGGAGAAGTGGGTGAAGATAATGCTAAAGATGAGAATATTTTTTATGATGATACTTTGACTTTGGGAGTTGTTGTTGATGCAAGTGGGATTGGAGAGCCTCTGACATACACAAGGCTACAGACAAGAGGAACAAGAATGGTTGACCAAGTTGTACCTTCAGTTTTAAGTGAAGATAAGGAAGAGCAAATCTATAAGCTTAGTTCAAGTGAAGATGAGATTGAGGGAGAAGATGTTTTGGAATTTGATGGAGAATCCGGAGATGATGATTTTCTTCATTAGTTCACTTTTGTTTTATCTGACTATATCATTTTGCCAGTATAGCTTGTGCACTTTTTTGGATGCAAGTTTGTGCATTTTTTTGGATGCAAGTTTGTGCAGTTTTTTGGATACAAGTTTGTGAACTTTTAATGTAAAGAACCTTTTCTACACTTTTAATATAATGAATTGTTTCTTGAATGTTATTGATTGTTTCACATACAGTTCAGTTCCAGCTCCCAAAGCATTCTAAAGGCTGATGTTAATATTCACATTTACAACAACAACAAAAAATTAATATGCCACGGTCCCTTCCTTCCCTTTTACGTGCTGTGCAGCTGATTAAATGCCTATGCCACTCTCCCTCACTTGTAGGTTGTGCAATGCCTACATACAAACAGCCACACAATATAATATGCAATAAGTACACAAAACAATATGCATGACATATATAACTAGAGCATGGGTGGACTGATAGTTGAGCATTTATATTAGTTAAGACTGTTCTGTTAATACTTCACCGTAGCGGCAATACCGCTACCCGCTATACCATTTTTGGGGTCGGTCGCTACTGACCGCTAACTGTTATTGACAACTATGGTGTCGAGTCGGTGCTACATTGTTGTGAATGACCAGAATGCTTAGTTGCATGATTCTCAATTTCAGATTTTGGTGTCCTTGTGATTGTATTAGAGGAATGAAGTCCTTCCAATGCTGCTAGAACATTTAACATAGGTGGTCTAAATTTGGGGTCTGTGTTCAAGCATTGCAATGCAAGTGCAGCAGCAGCTTGTGCTCCTTTCCTGGAGTATTCACCACCCAACCTAGTATCCATGATTCTCAACACTCTTCTGCTATCACTCAGGAAGGGCTTTGCCCAATCCACAAGATCTTCATCTGAAAATTCAGGTCTATCATCTTTCATGGCACACCTTCCTGTTAGTAACTCTAACAAGACAACGCCAAAGCTGTATACATTACTCCTTGGAGTCAAATGACCTGTTCAAATGAAAGCTAACTTAGCAAAATGGAAAGTCAGGCTCATGACATTCATAAAAAAATATGTGCATGATACAACTTAAGTGGAAAGCTGTAAGTAATAGACAAAACTACCATTGCCCTAGGTTGTCAGTAGCAGCCCGTAGCGCCGCTAAACCGCTACCGTAGCGGGTAGCGGTGGTCGGCAGCTACAAACCGCGACGCTACGCCACTACAAGAAAAAAGTTTATTTGTGACGAAATTTTTTCGTCACAAATATTGTCACAAATGATAATTTTCGATACAAATAATCAAATTTTGTCACAAATACATTTGCGACACAGGAATTTGTGACGAAATTTACTTGTGACGTAGGAATTAGTGACGAAATTTCATAAAATTTTGTCACTAATAAGATTTTTTCTTGTAGTGCGCGACATTGGCCGTAGTGGAAGGTAGCAGCGTAGCGTAGCGGCAATACCGCTACCCGCTACACCACTTCGAATTTGACGGAGAATCTGGAGATGATGATGATTTTCTTCATTATTTCACTTCTTGTACTTGACTATTTGACAATTTTATTGTTCATTTGTGTTTAGTTTTGGATCCTTCTTTTATGTTCCTTGTATTTGACATTGATTGTGGAATTGTGTTTGATTTTGTGTGACTTCTTATGTTTGAGAATTAATACTAAAAGCGGTATTGCCTCGTTTCTTGACTGTTAGTATAATATATGTGGAGTTAATACTTCACCGTAGCGACAATACTGCTACCCGCTACACCGCTATATCATTTTCGGGGTCGACCGCCACCGGCCGCTAACTGCTATTGACAACTATGCTATTGCCTGCTTTGTTTAGATACTTTAAAAAAAAAGAAAATTGAACTGGTCATTAAAGTGCAAGTGGTTCAACTAGAGTTACAATGGGTTCCTATAATTGTTAATTAAAGTCCGTATTAATGGTTTTATATTATGTTTCTTTTACACAACCTCTTGGACAATGTACACATTCGCCTATGTATACTTCTGTTTACTTGTGCTAAAAAGCTCTATAACATTTAAATATTTATTAATAGGGTAAGTATTGAATTCTTAACCATCTGGTTAGAATCAATTTAATACAAAAGTTTAAATAGCTAATTGAAAGCCACTTAATAATTTTATATTATATTTCTCTTCCACATTTAAACTACAAAATCCTATCAATTCTCAATGGGAAGTAAATTATTTAGTGTGGCAGTTTTAAGCTACTAGCCTACTTCCTATTATATCTATACGTTTGAAGATGTTAACAAGCAGCATGGAAGAACCTACTTCATTATTTTTAGTCTTTATTTTTTATTTTTTATTTACACACATTTTATCTTTTTTCTAATTTTTTTTTTCTTTTACTCTTTTTTGAAGTGTTCTAAGCTTTCATAACATTAGATTTTTTTTATCACTCTATTTTCTTCTTCTAAGAAGAATAAAGTAGATGTATTTAGTTAAGTTTCTAACCATATTAAGAAGGGGTGCCGATGAAAAAAACTACAGAGGGCTAAATTATTTAAAAAAAGCATAGATATTTAAGTGATTCAAAGTAAAATCATAGGAGATTTTTTGAATTTTTCCCTAAAATTTAAACTGACATTCCAAGGGGATGAAAACTACTACGACAAAACAAAAGCACAAAAAACACATTGGAAACAGTTTAACTATGCTCAAGGAGAGGATTATACTTACAAATTTTTTGTTTATAAATTCTTACAAAGTATACTATATACTCGCGGAAGTACATTAGGTTACACTATGTATTTCCGGGAGTACATAGTATAATTTACAAAAATTTATAAAAAAAAATTATAAACAAATCCTTCCCCAGGCTCAAGATAACAAAAACATTTGCATTTTGAGTCTTCAGGCCAATGAATATTATCTAATAGTATGTAGAAACTTCTGGATAGTTTTGGAGAGATGAACTGGTTTGCTTTAGGTTTGATGTTTGGTCAATTCGGGTTTCTGCTATTGACTTCATTTTGGTTTTCTATTTTCCAAAAACCAGAAGTCATTGATGACATAGGATTACCTAGGGTACTGTGTAATATATACAGGGTGGAAATCAATAGAGACCATTAAAAGACTTAATACACTAACACAAAAAAGGGCAAATCCCTATGCAAGAAGGGTTGATTGTACACAAACTGCTCAATAATTTTATTGGCATTATTTTTTGGCAGCAACACCAGAAAAATAGTGTTTGCCTCAGATACAACGTCAGATCCTGATAGTTTTGTGTCAGACAATATTTCTGTCACATCCGCATAAATACTTTTGCCTAATTTTATATCCAAAATGTTTTGATTTAGCTAAATGTTAAATTAGAAATTTAGATCTTAACACTTTGATCAAGACAAAGGAACTATACCTGTGGCCAGATACTCTGGTGCAGCATAACCTTGATCGATAATTCTGGTTGAAATGTAAGTATTATCTCTGGTAGGCCCATCTCTTGCCAAGTCAAAACCAGAAAGCTTGACATTGAAATCCTGCATATATATCAGGCTACTCTTTCACAATGGAAACTTATATGTAAACCAGAATATGTAGTCATTGTAGATTTACAAACCAAACTTTTAATGTTACATACTGAATCAAGTAGAATATTGGAAGCCTTTAAAAAACGAAAGATAACATTTGCATCCGGGGAATGTAAGAATGTTAATCCTCTTGCAACACCAATTGCAATGTTGACCCGTGTGATCCAGGCAATGGGTTGAACACCTTCTGCAAAAATATAAAACAAAATTTAAGGTATTATTAATAAATAGTAATATGGCTCAATATGTTAGCTCTTGTACTACGTGGCTCAATTTGTTGCTATACTCTAAATCATCAAAGGATTGTGTTTTATTTAGACAAATGAAGACAATTAAAGAGATAGAATTAGGAAATTCAGAGAAAAAAAAATACTCCTCATTAAACTAGATAGAGAGGGTACGAACGAGGGCAATCTTTATATGCAGCCTACCTTCGTATGTGTAAAGAGGTTGTTTCCCAGACTGAAATCTCTAACCTTTTTTAGTCACAAAAGAGAAATTTTACCACGACTTAGGCTTGCCCTTTTGAAATTCAGAGAAAATAAAAACATGAAAAATTTTCAAGTTCTGGCATCCTCTGGATCAATTTTTTGAATCACCTTCATGAACATGGTTTCAAAAAGACAAAAGCTATATATGAAAATAATAGTTTTTTTTTTTCCAAATTTCCGGGAACAAGAGTCAAGAAGCCATTTTCATATATTTGATCTTTCTTATGCCAAGCAACAAACCAGATCCCAGTTACCCCCACAATTTATAACCATACTTTTTAGGATTTGTCCTAGGTATATCTTCTGACTACAACATACCCATTTCATAATAAAGCTTATGTTTATATATAAACCAAGTCACATTTGCTTTATTATTATTCTCTGTCTTTGATGAGTTAATAATAATCACATTAGAAGGTTGCTATAGCCACAGTCCAGGATCAAAACCTGGTTGTGGTGGCCAATTATTCCTTCCACCCCTTCCCCCACCCTTGGTATTCTGAAATAGTTTTAGAACCAAAAAAAATTCTAATATTGGGAATCAAAACCAGATAATCACAATAATCATCTTTAGGAAAGCATCAACCACATCAAATTGCAGTTATCCGTGAAATGTGTACATAAAGTCATGAAATACAATCACAATGTCTTTATCCATACTCTTACTTGGTGTATAAAAACTACTCAAATATCAGGAATTGGGACAAATGAGAGACCAAATATGCTTAGAGTGAAATGTACTTACTTCTAAATAAACGATTCTCCAAACTTCCTTTTTGCATAAACTCATAAACTAGAAGCCTGTTTTCATCCTCATAACAATAACCAATAAGTTTCACCAGATTTTCATGGTGAAGCTGCCCTAGATAATGGACTTCTGCCTGCCAACATAAAAGGATGAAAAATCAGTCGATACCAAGCAAGAAAAATTAGTCAAAGGGAAAAAACAAAATTGATCTTTGTTACACATACAAGCCATTCCATGTGGCCTTTGCTTCCTTGCTTGAGATTCTTAATGGCCACTACAATTCCACTCCCCGGTTTTGTGGGAGCATATGTGTTCTCATCAATCCATCCCTTGAAGACGCGCCCAAACCCTCCCTCTCCAATCAAATTGTCTTGCCCGAAGTTCTTAGTTGCTTCCTTTAGATCACTCAAGCTGAAGGACTTAAGGTTATTGGAGACTGATTTGACAATATTTAACTCTGAAGTTTGGATAACAGCTTTTTGTTCAGAAGAATTTGAATGCTGCTTTGTCTTGCTTAGAGGCTTCTTGCTTCCTGTGAGACAATGAGAGGCAAGTTAAAAGCAGCCATGAGATTTACTTTCTAAAATCTTGTACACAGCTCTGTCACATGTAACTTCTTGAAATCAGTTAACATATAAAGTGCCCAAAAAGGGTGAAAATAAGTAACATATAGCAAGATTTTTATTTTCATCATTGCAAAAATGCAAGAGTAAGCTTGTCCACAATCGACCCTCACCTCTGCCCTCGCAAGGTGAAAAGTTTTGTACACTGGAGTTTGCCCTTTTTAAGATTATTTAGGTAGTCAAACACAAGAAAAGAATGTATACCAAGACATAGCCGCGCAAGGAAGTTTCTAATTCTATATATGGAAAGAAGAGGTTTTGGGAAAATTTATTGGATTAGGTTTTATGGGGCAATGCTGGAAGAGTTCTGGTGCCTCTAATTTGTAGTTAACTTAGATTAAGATTTGTAGTGAATATATGGATACATCCAATGTTATAAAAACCGACCCGGTTATCGAACTGGTCGGAGTGCTGGGTCATTGGGTCACTGGTTCAATTAGTGGGTCACTGGGTCAACTGCATGACCCGGAAATATATGTATATATATTTTAATTTGGAATATTAGTTATAAATTTTTATTTTAAATTAAAATAAATATGAACATATTACCATTAATAAATAGATTACCAAAAAAATTAATAAATAAAAATAAAGGTGCACACATGTGAATAGAAGAAAAAATGATACATGAAAAGATATGAAAATATAAAAGATTTCAAAATTATTAAATTTTTCTTATGGGCTTACAAGAAGAGTGAAGTTAAATTTGGCCCATTTCAAAAAAATTGAAGAGGCCCAAATTTTCAAAACCCTAATATTCCCTTTCATATTTCCTTCCATTCTTAGTTAAAGCAGTAGCAGCCTCCGATCAGTTTTCGCTGGTTTTAGCCACAACCATAAACGATTCGCATGTCACTAACTCGCGAAGTCCAGCAGCCGCCTCTGTCTCATAAACCCTATTCTGGTTTTCGCTGATTAGTCCTCTTGTTTGTTTTCTGGGTTCTTTTTTGGTTTCTCTTCTCTGGTTCCATTTCTAGTTTCTCTTCTAGTTTCATTTCTGAGTTTCATTTCTCGTTTCGTTTATGTTTTTTTATGTTTCTTAAGGTTGTGCCTTCGATCTCTGTCTCAACGTTTCTGATTTTTTCGCTGATTTTTTTGAACTGCCGGGTCACCGGTTTTAGCAAAACTCAGTCGGTTCGCATCGAGTCAAACCGGTTCACACCGGTTCACCTACAAGTTCGATCCAATAGGTTACCCGGACCGGTCACACCACCGGTTTACCGGTTTCCGGGTTGAACCGGCCGGTCCGGTCCGATTTTTGCAACACTGGATACATCACAAAGTACAAGCTTTAACAATTTCACAGAAAATATTGACATACGTGGCTCTACTTTGTCTAAATTTCAAAATTCATACACTGGGTTCATCGACTTTGTTATGGAATAGATTCGTATCTTAATCGTATATCCCTCAAGGGATTATGCCATATCTAATTCATATCTCATCAATAGAAAGAAGATATAGATAAAGGGATAAGACCTTTATCTCAACAAGTTAAGAGGTTTAATTCCACATCAACTGGGAGATTTTGACAGCCCAAAGTCAAGAGATAACCCTTATAAATAAAAGGCTAAAGACCTCGTGTACACTTTTGACCTATTTACTATTACTGCCAACACTGTACAACTCACGTCTTTGCTATAAGCCTATTGATAGTACGGTTGTCTAGGACCGAACAGACTTCTAGACATGCATTAACCAATTATTTATGTATCTTTTAAAATGCAAAATTGTTCGACATTCTTTGCAACTGGATTGCAAAGCAGCCTCATAATCTTCATTTTCAAATAAATAAAATAGCCTATAATATTTTAAAGCAACATCATAGGGACAACAGTTTTAAAAAACAAAGTGAAAAAAAAACGAAAACATTCAACATAACAAGGGGGGGAAATAGATAAAAAATTCCCACAAAAAAAAAAATAAGGATAAAATTCAAGCCTGGTTAGTATGATAAGTGCACTAAAGAATAAGAACAGAGATGAGGAAGAAACAAAGGAAGGGAAAAACATACATAGCTTTTATAAAGATGATTAAAATGAAGAGAAACTGACCTGCAAAATTAGAAGAAGACACATGATCAGCAACCGGTTTTGCACAAGTGTTTCCCATCATGAAAGGGTCTTGTTATACCAAACCAGCAAACCTTATGCACGAGAAACACAAAAGGAAGCAAAAGGGTGTGAAGAAAGAGTCTGAAAACTGCAAGTGTTTATCTGAATTATGGAAGAAGAAAAGTTCCACGGCATTGGCATAGTTGGCTAGGCAGCGTGGGCAATTTAAAGTTGAACCAAAATAATAATAATAAGGGAAGACTCTTTGTCATTTTAAATGACATAACACTCTGTCTTTTTAAGAGAGATAGACACAGAAAAATAAATTTTATTTAAATTTTAAATTTAAAAAAACCTCAAACTTTCTTTCTCCTGTGATTTCTATTTTTTTGTGTTTATCTGTTCTAAAATGACATAACTTATGTCATTTAAAATGACAAACATCAAATCCTAATAATAATATTAATAATGATAGGGTTTTATTATTCACATGTTAAAGGGGATAAATTATCTTATGTCATAGAGACAAATTTGTGAGCTTCACTATCTGGAAAAAAAAATGACACAATTATTAAAAAAAAATTGTGTAAAAAAGAAAGTTATCTTAATAATTTTTCCCATAACGATAATAGTAATACTATTTGCTTTTGAGAACCTTCAAAGAACATGTGGCACGATAAAGCACTCATTGATTCATGGGTCAGATTTTGACTACATGAAGTCATGTTACTATGATTCAAACAATGTGACGTGGAAAAACTAGAAAAAAAACGGCTTTTGGTTTATGATTATTTAGACTTTTGTTAAATTAGGATTGGATTTTGACATGCAAATTGTATGTACGGGAACAAATCAACAATGTTAGTGGCACAAGAAAATAAATAAATAATATGGTATACAAAAAATAAATAAATAATATAAAATAAAAGAAGAAAATTATATTTACCAACTTTTTTTCCTTATAACTTTTTATCATCACTTTTTGGTTGATATTAAATAAGAGCCCTTAATGTTTTTTGGTCCAATAATTATAAAAAATTATAAGATTATAAATATAACCTGATTCAAAATAAAATAATATAAAAAATTGTTACCAAAAAAAATATATATAAAAATTAACCATGCGGTGGCTAGTTGCAGGCGGTGGCTAGTTGCAGGCGGCGGCATATTTATTTTGGTAAGCGGCGGCGGCATATTAATTTAAGCGGAGAGCGTGCTTCCACTCTCTTTCTTTGGTTTCTGTATTCCACATTTTCTTCCATTGACCAGAAACAGTTACATTTTCATAGCGTCAGCAAAGTGTCACATAAAAGATTATTTTGAATTAATTATAATTAATCAATTCTCTTGATGAATTATTAACATGAATAGTAGTATCTAATAATTGAAACATTTTATTTTTATATTTGAAAAACACGAATAAGACGGATATTAATTAGTAAGAATTAAATATTAAAGTTCTCGAGAAAAATTAATGCGATCAATACTTGTGATTCTGAAGGGGCCGTTTGGTAGTAGACTCTTTTTACAATTCTCGGAAAAGCTTGGTTCGACATAAATGAAACCCGCATATGGTATGCAAAAAAGTAAATTATTCTAGAGTACAAAAAATTCCCGTGAAAACATGTTGTGTTATGTACAGTGCTAAATGGAAATGTGAAAGTTCATAGGAAACATGGAACTATTTCGATTCCGAGAAAATTTTGGTAGAGGAGCGAAAATATTGACTAAAATAACCTTTATTTTGGTACGATCTGTGTCAAAATATTGACTAAAATTGTTGTCGACCAGCCTTTTCTAATGTATCTCACAGCAAACTCTTTTCGTTTTCAAAACCACAATATAATATTACAAACAAATGTAAATCTGATGTTATTTTCGTAAAATACTCTCACTTTTCCACAAATATTTCACAACTAACTAAACACATTCAGTAAAATTAACCATAAATTTCCGGGTAATTTTTACCATACCAAACACCTTTTACTAATATTCCAGAAACTAATAATTATTTTTCAGATAAATAAAAATTTATCCTCTACCAAACGCCCTATAACTATGAAAGTAACATTTTTATGTTCTCGTATATTAACATGTGCACCATCGAATTTCTTTATGTTTGAATTTGAAATATTAGTGTTTCAGAAATTCTTGTGGACTGTAAAAAAAAAAAAAAAAAAAAAAAAAACTATTAATAACTTAGTTTTCGTGGTGAGAAATTTATTCTGGTAATTAAAGGTTTAGAGTTTAATTATTAGAAGTAGGTTATATTTATAAATTTTTTTACTTATTATTTTTTAATAAATTATAATCGTTAAATTAACGGAAATCAACAGTTAAGATTTAGTTATAAGAGTTGGTAAATAATTTAATTACTTTATAAATATAATCCTTTCCTAATTATTAATAATAAAAATATGTATGAGTTGAAGTGCCCAACGGTGTCAAATCCGGATTAATTAGACTTTCGATAAACCAGTAAAAATAAAAAAACATACTCAATCCGCTGAGAATATGTAAATGCCGATATTGTACATGTATTGGATTAAACTTAAAAGTCTCAAGGGAAATAGAGAAAGGAAAGATTTAATAAATTTATATAAGGAATGAGTACAAGCTCATTGACATATTTTGCAATATGTTGGTGTAAAGTCGCTATCCGCATTTATTCTTAATTATTATAGGCATAAAGCAAATAATAGTTGGGAAAATGCTTCTTTTGTACCTGAAATTTTAGACTTGCTATTGGTTTGAGCAATAGGGCTTGACCTCTTTAGATATGTGATATTGGATCAGAATTATAAGGGTGTGCATGACAACTTTTTTAGAATCAATTCATTTTTAATTTCTGTTTTTGGGAACAGAAATGGATAGGAAACTCGTTTGGTAAAAATAGTTTATTTTTTTGTTCTCGGGATGAACCGGTTTAATTTTTGTGCTGGGGAACAGAAAAAAGAATAATTTTTTTTTTTGTTTTTTTGTTCCCGGGCACAAAATGAGAAACACTTATCTCTCTCAATCACTCTCCACCTCTACCATCATCACCACCACCATCATCATCCCGACACGACTGTCGCCACCATCGTCGCCGCCGCCATCGTGCCACTAGTGTCATCACCTCTCACCACCACGATGCCACCGCCACGCCACCATTACCACCACCTCCACCCATCACTACCACCATGCCACTGTCACCACCACCACAACTACCACCACCACCACCACTATCACTGCCACCGTCACCAATACCCCCATCACCACCACCACCATCACACGCCACTGCCACCACCCCCATTGCCATTACTACCACCACTACCATCACCACCACTACCATTGTCGCAACCACTACCGTCACCACCACCGTCGTCGTAGCCGTCGCCGCCACCGCCACCAACCACCACCACCATCGTCACAGCTATTACCGTCACCACCACCACCACCACCATCGCCACCATTACACCAATGTCATCACTACCATCACCACTACCATCACCACGTCATCACCACCACCGCCACCATCACCACCACCACTGCCACCTACCACCACCGTCGCAGCCACTGCCACGGCCACCACCACCACCATGATGCCTTCACCACCACCACCACCACCATGCCACTGCTACCATTGTTGCTGCCGCCAACCACCATACCCACCACCATTGTCGCAGCCACTGTTGTCACCTCCACCACCACCATCCCCAACATTACCACTGCCAACGCCACCATTACCACCGCCATAACTGCCGTCACAACCACCACCACCATCTTCACCACATCACTGCCACTACCACTACCGTACCGCCGCCGCCGCCACCACCACAACCACACCATATGGAAAGGAAAGTGGTGATCCGAATTTTTTTAATATTTAATAGGAATTGTTTATATTATATTATTTGTTGTGTTATCAAACACAATTATCATTCTCAGAATAAAAATAGAACATGTTATCAAACACATTTTTTTTCTCAGAAACTGTTCCAAGGCACAGAAATAGAAAAGAATTGTTTCTTTTCAGAAATAGTGCTCGGGAATAGAATGGTTGTCATGCACACATTAAGATTCTGAAAAACAAATATCATCAAGAAAGTCTTACGAGCTTGTTATTTTTTATTTTTTTATTTTGTTAATTTATAATTATTGCGTTGTTTACATTAATGGATATAATTTAGTACTAAGTAGTTGGTTGATAACTGCTAGTAGTGGGTAATTTGAAAGATATAAGTTTGCTGTAGTAGTTATCTAGTTTTCAAATATTGTAACTTCTATTTAAAATTTCCACTCAATGAATAAAGAAATGATGAGAATAATTATTTGAAAAAGTATGTGAACAAGATGTCAAGTTTCCTCATTAAAGCTATCCTTTTATTTGTTATTTTTCTCTTGTTATTTTCTGCTAAAATAGATAAAAAGAGAGAGAGCAGAAGCCCCTATGTGAACCACAGAGTTTTCATTTTTCATGTCTAACTATATTTAGGAGAATGATTACTCACTTATGAGATTAAAATATAGACTCACTTATGGGATTAGTTGTAAGTATTTAATCGATAATTCATGTTCACCAACAATCACATCAAGAACATGAAAGAGGATCTTTAGAATTCATGAGTTTCACATAAACATACCTTTGTCCATAAATGCGGAAGATCTTTAACGATAGAATACTTTCTCAGAGTCTTGACTCTTTCTCTTCTTGTATCTTCTTCTGATAGGGATGGGATACAACTCTCATGGGCAGACAATGATGGACGTTAGTTTCTCTTAGACCCCCTTATAAGAAAACTGTCCATTATCCTTTTTATAACTGCACCTATCAACAGTTATCTTAACAGTCAATTACCATTGTGCCTTTTTATTAATTAAATCAAATGACACTTAATATTATACATGAGACAAATAAGGTTTTACATTCTCTCACTTGGCTCATGTCATGAGATGTCCCTTCATGATTTAATCAACATTCATTATAATGCGCATTTACTAGGCTAAAGGTTCCATACATTGACCTCATAATAATTCATTATTAGAAATAAAATCAACACGAGTCTTGGCGGTTCTATGCTATCAAGTCGGCATAGTCCCTTCCATGTACCACTATATTGATTCTTCTTCCTAACATGATACTTTAATAGGAAGT